TTTTTTTTTTTTTGCCTAGAAATTTAAGATAGAATGGAAACGATGTACTGAAGCTTGTGAGATAGACGAACTGGTTTTGAATGCAACCAAAAGTAAGAGAATATTATCACTGTTTAAGCATCAAAGCTTACATCTTTAACCCTAATCTGATATTTTTTAATAGACACAAATAAGTTCATTAGAGTTCATGCTGCTGTTTAATGCATTCAAAGAATAAACATTTGGAGAGTTGAGTTTTGATGCATTTAATGAATAGCAAAAAAAAAAGGAAAAAAATCTGAATTTTCAACATTTGACTTGCTGATCAGAGGCATTTAAAAGGAAAACTGGTCAATTCCAACAAGTAATTGGTGCATTTCTTATGATGGAGGTTAAACCAGTTGGCATCATCATTGTCAATCTATTAACCCCTGATCTCCAGAATTCAACATGTCGGCATAATGTGATGATTGGTTAACACAATCAGAAGATAAAAGGATGTTGAAACTCCCAGCGACAAGTTTGAGATTTACTTACCTCAAGTTAACAGGACAATAAAAGTGTAATCGCAGCGACATGCAAGGAAAATATTTGGTATTAATTGAAAGACAACAGTAGAGCTACATCTTCTTTTTGAAGACGAGACAAATGCACCTTTAGTCAGTCTTATGTCTGCCGTGGAATGCTGCAACTCAGGTGATGAAATGGGTTTTATTTTTCATTTCTGGAACTTTTAATACTTAAAACTCGCTGATATAAAACCCAAATTTAAATGAGCCAACATCACAGTCTTAAATCTGGAAAACTTAACTCTGGATTAATCATTAAAAAAAATACGTCTGATCAGAAGTACTATGTAGGTACATTCTGATTTCTTCATAGGACAGATTAGTGTTCTTTGCATAAAACGCTGACAGGATGATTCTCTCTTCTTCTCTCAGTGACTTTGGCTTTGCTTGCTTTGGGGCTGCTGGTAAATTAACTCTCAACTCTGTTGATCCTCTTGTTTTTCCGCTCCTTTCCCCCCTTTTCCCTTCCTTTCCCGTCTCTCTAAACACACACACACGCACTCACACATTGAATCGCATATCCCAACATGTCAATGGTTGACCAAAGCTGGAAATGCATGTGTGGCCATGCCTCACAAAATAGGCCGCATCATCGAGGGGAGCCCGGCGGACCGCTGCGGGAAGCTGAAGGTCGGCGACCGCATCCTGGCCGTGAACGGGAACTCCATCACCAACAAGTCCCACTCTGACATCGTCAACCTCATCAAGGAGGCCGGGAACACCGTCACGCTGCGAATCATTCCCGGAGATGGTGAGTGGACGACGACGGCGGCCGCGGTTGGTTTGTCCGCGCATCAAAGCTCGCGTTTGACATCTCGGAGCGGCTTTGTCGTTTGTCAAGAAATGTGGTGCTGAAAGGTTCTCCTCCAAGAGGTTTGGATTATCCAGGACTCGTACCAATGATTGATCAAAAAAATGCTAAAATTTCAACGAGGAGATTTCAAGGTTTGGAAAAAGCTTGATATTCATTTGCACCTTTTGAAGCCGCACCATTTTTCTGCAACTGAACGTTTAATTAAAAGCCTAAATTTGAGAAGCAGTATTTACAGTTGAAACTAGATATTTTTATGCACCTGATAATAGACGTAAAGATTTAGTAGGTCAAACCAAGCTGACTACATATTTAACCTTTTTTTTTTTTAGCTTTATTACAAGTTTACCAACTCATAAATGAAATCTTAAAACTTTTAATGTCATATTAGATTTGAGAAGCCGCTCTTTTCTTAATCTACACTTTGAGGAGTTGCAGCGTCTCCCCTGTGTGAGATGGAGCTGAAGTTTCTCTGCTTCTTAAAGTGAGCGAAGCGCCCCCGCAGTGTTGACAGAACAGCTTCTTTGGGGTTATTTGGGAATCTTCCCAGCCGTTACGTTTTTGCCTCTGGCATGCCCCCCGCTTTCAGAGCATGCAAGAGTAATTTAGTTGTCTCTTTGTTTGTTTGTGTGCGAGAGAGAAGCGGAGAACGATCTAGAACTTCCTTCTGTGTACGCAAGTGTGTCGAATCTGTCGTTTCGGCTTTAAATCAAAAAGCTTTGTGCGCCTTTCGTGGTGTTCTTCGCTTAAAAATCGCCGCGGCTTCCTCATAAACGCTCATTAATAGTTTGTGCGAGCGTGAGGAAGGCCATGCTCCCCATCAACCCGCTCGCTGGTGGAGATTTGAGCTATTTGTCCGCCTCGCTGACTTCAAGCTCACCTCATGAATGAGAGGGGCTTTCTTCTTCTCCCGTTTCCGTCCGGAGCAGCGTACGAGAACAGCGAGACAAAACCGCTCTGGCAAACAGACGTACAGAGCTTTGGAGAAAACACTGGGGAGAAATAACCAGATGTGCTCGACATGAAACTTCCTGTTTGTGTTCGTGAGCATGTGTCAACCAGGTGTCGTCTGACATGGAGACAGTCGTTGGGAGGCGGGGGGTGGGGGGTGGGGAAGACTGCAGGTTCTCTTTAAAGGTCGGCTTCTAAGTGCGAATTTCCTCCGCTGCTGTCCACGAACGGTTGCGTGTCTCTGTGTGGATCTGTAACGTTTGCGACGCGAGGAGGAGCTTCTCGCACGGTTCTGCTCTCGTTGCTCCGGCGTGAACGTGGGGATGGAGTTCACAGAGAAATTTGGAAATGGAGATATGGAGCATGGCTGTGTGCAGCAGAAAGCGGATATATTTTTGTAACGTTTTATTGCACAGTTTGTAAGATGAAAACTATTTTAACCATTGTAACGATTGTGACGAAGCTGAAATGTGCGTCCAGCACTTCCGTTCAGCCGGCCTGAGTCAATACTTTGTAGAAACACGTTTCATTTTCGCAACGGCATTAATAAGCTCCCCAGTTCCGGGACAATATTTTTACGTTCTGTGCAAAATACCTTCAGCTTAGTCTGATTAGTCTGGGACACACATTTTTGATTGGATTTAGGTCTGGACTTTGACTAGACCATTCTAACAAATGAATATTGCAGCACTGGCTACGTGTTCAACAGGTTTTTAGTTTTAAGTCACTTACTGACTCTTAGGTTTTCATCCAAGCATTCAACTCCCTGCTGCCCAAAGCTGCAACTACTTTGTATTTTTTTAAGTATATATATATATATATGTGTGTGTGTGTGTGTGTAAAATGAACTTTGTGGTTGTAGTGTGACGCGTTGTGGTAAAAGTGTAGATGCTTTTGTTTGTTGCACAGTTTTTTATTTTGATTCGGGTCAGGAGGGCATTCTGAGCAACTGAGAGGCAAATGAAAGAAATGATTAATCTCTTCTGTGCATTAAAGGTAATAAACGGCAGTGTTTCCCCAGCAGATTGGAAAGACTAACAGGAAACATTTAGAGGGGGAGAGTTAAATACAAAGATCATGAAGCGTTATGGTGCATGTTTTGCAAATGAGGAGATGGAGGGTTGACTAGATTTTTTACGAGGACAATAATGAAGCTGTAAAAGCCGACATCCAGTCTGGAAACCGAAACTCATCCTGCCTAAACTTCTGTCTGATTGCTAATGTTTGCAACTCATCAGGTAACTAAAAGGTTAAGTAAAAAAGAAAGAAAACAACCTAGAAAGTGAATAAAGCTTTCTTAATGCAGTAGCAGTGTTTTCGTTGCTTTGTAGTAAAACCAAAATCTGATTCCGTCGCTGCAGAGATCCTGGAAAATAACCAGGAGCTTTTTGTGTCGGACTGTCGGTTCCGGCCCAAAACGAGATGCGCGCCTTTCATGTGGAAATGAAAAGCGACAAGGGCTTTGACAAAATGATCGACGGCACAAACTTGCTGTCTGATGCTCGTCTCCCGGATGTTTTCTGAGTGTTTTAGGAAGCTGGAGGTGGAGCCGCAGGGCTTTCTGTGGGTCAGCTAATGCTTTGGAGCTGACAGCTGCTGAATGGCCACAAGTGTGCAAACCCGAAAGAAAAAAAAAATGTGAAAAATTGATTTAATCCATCACAGTCTCCTGGAACACCGGATAGGCCTCGGTTATTATGCAAATACCGTAAATTATGGATTTATGCTAAATCAGGAAAAAGCAAACGTATGTAGAAGGTTTTATGTTCCCTGAAGAGAGAGAAAGGAAGAGAGAGGGGGGGAGTCTTAGGAAATCTAGAGTTTGCATGCAGGCTTGGTGGGAAGCTGAGGAGGCAACGCAGTCATGTGGAGCAGAGACGGCTGAGACACCAAGGAAGCAATTCGATTGAAATTCAATTCCAAAACACTTTATTGATCCCAAAGGGAAATTAAATGTTGTTGTAACTCATAATTCAAAGAGTTTCCATCCATTCAGGCTTTATATTTAAAGCCTTTCCTCAACAGAAATAGCTTCTGCAAAATCTTTTTTTGCAGAAGCATTGCATTTCATTTCAAGTCAGGATTCTGCTAATGTGGAAAAAAACATTGAGTTTGAAAAGTAAACATTTAAAGAAACTTTGATTTTTTAAAATGTATTAATTTTCTTGTCCATCTGGTGTGGTGGCACCGTCTTCTCCTTGTCCATGTGCTATTTAATGAATGGTAACGTCATTCATCTTTCTGTCTTCCCCCCCCACAGAGTCATCAAATGCGTCTTTGTTGACGAACGCTGAGAAGATTGCCACCATAACCACAACTCACACATCTCAGCAACAGGCGGCACCTGAGGCCAGGTGAGCAGCACTCCTTGAAATTAACTTTGAATTGATCGGAGAAGCTCTTAACGGTCAGCTCTGCTTAGTCCGTTTTAATCAATTTTGCAGTTCGTTTGTCCGAGAACGTCCGGTTCATTTGGGGAGACGTGAAGGTGCAATCAGACTCTGGTCTGCCTAAAACTCAAAGTCTCGATTCGGTTGAAGTGAACTCTGGTGCAGTTCCAACGTATATGGGAATGCCAAGCGGACCCGAGGTCGCTCCAAAAGCAGGAAGCCAATGATAGCGCAGGGCATTCTGGGTAAATGGAACCAAAACAAACGCAAGAGTCTAACTCTAGAGGGAAAAAAGAGACAAAAGAGAAATCCTACAACTGTTAAAATGTCATGCCACTCCATATATTTTATGTTTTTTTTTTTACATTTTTCAAATAAGGAAGTTGCATTCACGTTTTCTTCTGAGATTTTTGTTGTTTCCTTCAGTCAGTCTTGGTGCAGCGACATTGGAAACAGGTTTTCGAAAGCGTTTGGATTGTTTGACGTGGTGCAGTGTGAAAGCAAACCACCTCAGCCGAAAATGTTGCAAATGTTACCATTTGGTCCCCAATTGACTGAGTTTACCGGACTATCATGTTAAAAAAAAAAAAGATATCTAAAACGGACATAGTTTGACAAAAGTCCTTTGTCATTCAATTCTTTAATTCAAATAAATATTCAAATAAATATCTTTTTTTTTTTTTCAGGACCAACACCAAACCAAAACAGGAGTCTTATGAGTTTAGTACCCCACCAAACCCTCCTCTGCAGCCCCCCATCCAGACAGACTCGACTCAGGTAAGTAAAAAACGCACACCGGTCATTCACCTGTCCATTCATCCATCCCATGTCTCCATCAAGCACTCACCACTCCTAACCACTTCCCCGTTGTCTCCTCACCCATCTATTCAAGCTGTTAGGCCATCCAAAACACACGTCCGAGCTCCACGCTTCAGCTCACACACACACCCACCCACCCACCTTCCCAAGGACGAACGGTGTACATTTTTATTTATTTATCTCCTTGCAATCGCCGGCTGCCATCGGCCAGAGTCCGTGCATTAAGGAAGAGCCTGTTTACTTTCAAAGTACCTCCTCAGTCCATTGTGTTCACCGCTGAATTAATCTGGTGTTGTGGAGATGGCTCTCCTAGATAACATTGATCCCTCTGCAGAGGAGATTAGGAGGGCATGGAGACAAAGCTGCAGAGACTGTCTGCCTGTCCTTGTGCTGCCCAGTCTGTCTCTCTATTGCCTAGAGCCCAATGCATCAATAATTCAGCATCCTTACACCTGAGCATATGCATACACACACATGGAAACGCGCATGCACGCGATGCGAGTGTGCCTTTCCTGGAGGTGGCATTTGTCCCCCCCGCGCTCCTGAAATTAGAGACGGCTTTAAAGGGCGGCACAAAAACCGCACACTTTAATCGAGTCGCACATATGACCTTGATGCTAACACATCCGTGTGTCTGTGTGTATGTATGTGCGTGCGTGTGTGTATCCAGGACTCTGAGTTCTACTCGGTGGACCTGGAGAGAGACAGCAAAGGCTTCGGCTTCAGCCTGCGGGGAGGAAGAGAGTACAACATGGACCTGTACGTGCTGAGGCTCGCCGAGGAAGGAGCCGCAGTCCGCAACGGGAAAATGAGGGTACGCACACGCAAACCACACAAGCTCCAGATCGATGCGTTTAAATTAAAGTTTGTAAAGATCTATTAAGTAGAAATGCTTGCCAACAGGAAGCTGGTTTAGCTTCTTTTTTTTTTTTTTGTTTGCCCCTGTGATGACAACAATTTACATTAAAGATTAGATAGAGAGTATTTAAAGTTTTACTGCTTTTCTCCCTCCTACAAGCTTTGTCTGAGTGGCATCTCCTATGACTTGCGAAGTCATCTTCTGAAATGCGAGTCAGCTTTTCTTAAGGATAGCTTAGACGCCCTCGGATACTCGTCTCCCACCGAACAAGCAGGCGATAAATGGATCGCATTACCGATGGGACTGTGTTGTCTTCTAAAAACAAGATTCCGTAGCCGATAACTTCACTTTGTAATTAACGGGTTGCATTCGGCTGTGCTGCAGTGACGCCGGCGTTTCACTTTTAACTGGAGCAGATCTGAAACGTTGCTTCAGTGTGAAACCGCAACACGAGTTCCCCGGAGCGTTTTTGCAAGCTGCACTGTTCCGCTGCCGGTCTGCATGTCGTCTTACCAGCTCTTACCTCCCATCTCTTCTCAATTTTGCCACAGCTCAGAGTTTCAATTTAATTGTCTTAAAAGCATCTCTGGAGGATTAAGCCGAGGAAATTTGTTTCCTTTCTGTGTGACAATGATGTAGTGATCTAAAACGGCTTATTTAATAAGAAAGAATCGAGGATATTTAATTAAACCCGATGATAGCATCTCTGTTTATATAATCCGATTAGAGGTGCTTTTTTTTTTTTTTTTGTTCCTATTTCGCACAGTTTTGCAGCAGATCTCAGCAGATCATCTCTGATTGCGTTGAGTTTTTATCCGTCGCATACCGATTAAGGTGCCGTCTGAAACGGCTGACTCTTTAGTCTGCCTCAGACCGTACAGCCATCAGCCTAATGCTATCCATCGTGAGGACTGACACTGTGGGAGGTATCCCACAATTACTGCCAACTACGGTTCGGTAAATATAAACGGTCACCTAGTGGCTCATTGAAGCAAAAATGATTCACTGACTGTAGTAACGGGTGTGCAATGAGGCTTTCGTGGTCGAATTACCTTGATAAAAAAAATGCTTTGGTTCGAATTTATGCACAGAGAAAAATATTTAGCATGACTTTTACCTGGAATTAGAAAGGCTTCGCTTAATCTTCCTGCTGCTGAGGTGTTATAACGCATTTGATTTTTTTTCCAGTTATAGCAACATCATTTATCACATTTAGTTGTTGCTATTTTGACCTACAAAGATTTTTTTTTAAATAAATTGGCATTCAGTTTAGGGCTGAAACAATTAATCAGATTAATCGTGATGATTCGATTATTCAAATAATCAACTAGTTTAGTAATCAATTAATCATTTACGGAAGTATATGAACTCAAAAAAAGGCAATTGGCTGCAGGAGCAACACATGTAGAGCAGTAAATAAGCCAAAACTGTCAAACAAATGTACATTTTGCATGCAAGATAAAAAAATTAAAAAAAAGTTTGTAAATATGTTCTACCCAAAACTACTCATGTTGACATCGTTTTAGCTTCACCTGGTTCAAATTGTGTACAAAAACCTCCTGTTGAGCAACTTTTACGATCCACTTTTTAATCAGTTAATCAAAAACATAATCCACAGATTTCCCCTACAGTGTCTTAGGGAAATATGCAGGTATGTCTTTCGAATGCTCTCCCAATGCGTTTGCATGCGAGACACCTTGGAAGAAGTTATTAGTTTTTATTTTGCTCACTTAGGAATGTGAGTTGGTGTAATCTGAACATTTGTACATGCATGTCTGAGGCCTACAGTTTGCATGAGTTCAGGTTATTTAGAGGAATTATTAATAGCAGCAGCAGCAGCTCTGTGAGGCAGAGAGACATGTCAGACAGAGATCCACTCCCTGTCAAAGCAGTATTCCCCTGGTGCAGACGGCTCTGACAGCTTAACCTGAGGAGGGGATTCAAGGAAGCCAAAAGTGTTTCTTCCTTCTTCCTGTTTTCCCTCCCGTCTGTCTCTCTCAGCATCACAGTCGCTGCTCTCTGATTTGCTCTCTGCAAAACGGTTGAGGAAAAGCTGCTCCGGTGCATCTCTATCAATCGGATTTTAAGCTGTAATTTCTTGTCAACCCGTCCACCCTTCCTTTCTGTGTCTTCTCCCCCCTCCCACCCCGACGTCACGTCTTTCCCAACCTTCCCGCTTCACGTCTTCGTCCTTCCGTCCTGTCATTTGTTTTCCCCGCTGCCATCTCCTCTTGTTTTGTTTTTTTTTCCTGCCTCCTCCCTACCTCACCTGTCACTCTGCCTCTTTTTTTTTTTTTTTTTTTTTTTTTTTTTTTTTTTTTCCCCCCCCCCCCCCCCCCCCCCCTCCCCCCTCCCCTTTTTTTTTTTTTTTTTTTTTTTTTTTTTTTTTCTGTTTCCTCCCCTCCCCCAACCCCCACCCCTCCTCGTGGCCTTGCGCCTCTCCCTCCAGGTCGGAGATGAAATCCTGGAGATCAACGGCGAGAGCACCAAAGGCATGAAGCACGCGCGGGCCATCGAGCTCATCAAGAACGGAGGCAGACGCGTCCATCTGGTGCTCAAGAGGGGCGACGGCTCCGTGCCTGAATATGGTGGGTCAATCTACGAAAACATTCCCTTCTCCCCCATCTTCACACCCTGAGCTCGGACGGTGGTGGGGTTCGAAGGTGGCAAAGAACTGAATCGCACATCGGGGACCCCCTTCGCCCCTTCCTGGCGTAGACACACCAGGGACGGGAAGGAGGGTTTGCTTGGCTTTAAAGTCTTTCCGTGGTGAAGGTCACTCCTGTGCTTTTGGATTCTGGGCGTTGGGGGCGGGGGGTAGGAGCTTAGAGGTTGCTCCTCCGGGTGCGGTTGGCCCCTCCTACTGTCGCCTGCTCAGTTTCCATGTCATCCCGCTGTCACTTTTCACCTTCTGGCCGCTCAGCTAAAGCACTCCGTCGGGACTTTACAGAACGGTGGTGGGCCTAATTTCAGTGCAACATATTAAAAAAATAAAAACTGTTTACAGGTTTTTTTTTTGTTCCAGAGTAGGAAAACAAGTTTTTTTTGTTTTTGTTTTTTTTTAGGAAGAAGTGACATATGTTGCTTTAGCTCATTGTTAAACACCAGTTCAGCATTAAAAAGGAAGAAAACTTGACTCTTTGCTTTCCTAGAAAAGGTGGGACGTCTCACAGCTTTGGCCTCTTTGTGACACAAACATATTTATGATATTTATTGGGGGTGAATGTAAGCTACTGAACTCCTTAAGGTTTTAAGTGAGAACTGTTTTAAATAAAAAAGAAGAGGCAGCCTAATACAAGAACATCCAGTGAACTGAATTAGCATTAAAACGTTGACTTATTTCAGTAATTAAGTTCGAAATTGAAATCTGTATGGATTCGTTACACTCAAAGCGATTTATTTCAAGTGACGTATGCGTCTCGCCCTCTTCCGGTCCTGAACTCCATTGATTCTCTATCGTGTTCGTTGTGCAGTGATACCATGATCGTTAAGGCAGGTGTTGGTACTCAGCTGCCAAGTCCTGCTGGAAAATATATATGAAGCGTTTGCTGAAAAAGAGAAGCAGCAAAAGCTCTAAGATGCTTTTAACTTGTAGAAAACTTGGGGGACCAACGTTAACAGACGGCAGGTCTCCCTGAAACACAACTGACTGTGAAAACTTCACACTGGACCCCATGTCTGTCCACTTTTCCTCCATTTTCTCTTTCAAGCTCGAAAAAAATTTACTTTTTTTTTTCCTGAACTGAGGACTTGAACCTCGGTCCCCTTTTTCTCCTTCGCCCAGCTAAGAACTCTGTTTTCTCAGCTCAGTCCTATTTGAAAATTCTTCCTAATCCCACCGCAGAATTAAAGTCTCGTTCAGGAGTGGCTTAAGGCGACATCAGTCTATTTGTCTGCGAAACTAAATTTAGGATCTCTACTAGCTGTTTGCCATATTCATCAAAGTTTATCGAAACAAACACTTGAAATGTATCAAACTGTCTGTAATGAATCATCGTTAAACCCAGTTTGACTTTTTTTGCATTTAGTTACTGAAATAAATTCACGCTTTGACGATGATCTCATTTATCGAGATGCCTTTGTACCCTTTGATTTTCTGTTTCCAAGCCAAAATTCTGCTACAGCGTGCTCGACATTACTCATTCATCCATGGATTTATTTTCTTTTCTTTTTTTTTCTGTTGTACCCATTGTCGATGTTGATGTCATTTAAATGCTGTGAAGATTAAAACACCCAACGCCACACGTTCCCCCCCCCCATGCAAACAGAAAACGAGACCTGGCGCTTATATAAAGCTTTTGTACAGTGATGAAATGAATAGAAACATTTTTACGAGTATTTTTGTTCATTGTACAGAGCCATGAATCAAAGCCACATATAAATGGAGGAGAAAAAAAAAGAAGAAAAGTTTATTACTGCATGAACTTGTCAAGAGTGTACATTTGAAGTTTTTTGCCCCCTATATTGTCGATTTTTCCATAATATTTATGGAACATTTCTTTTTGTATTATTATTGTATTGACAAGTTTGGATTGATAGTCAAGTCATGAACATTTTTCATTGTCTTGCTTTGTTTTCTTTTTATTTTGTTTCTTTGAGTGGAGAAGCTTTTGCTTGTGGAAGTTTATTTGCGGTTTTCAGATCTGCACCTATATGGTGTCATGTGAACTTTGTATATTTTTGATCATCATTTGTATTTTTTTTATCTTATTTTTTAAGTTGACACAACCTTTTTGCCAGTCTTGCCAGTGTTTCTTCTTTTTGATTTCTGAGACTTATTTTTTTTTCTGCTGCTGCTTTGTCAACATGTACGTGTGTGTGTGTGTGTGTGTGCGTGTGTGCGTGTTTGCGTGCGTGTGTGTGTTTGGGTGATTGGGGGGTTGGGGTGTCACTGTTCTGTGTAACTAGTGGCTTTCACTGAAGGGTTTGGGCAACTTCCTGGACTGTCTCTTTACTCTGAATGATCAAATAAACACTCTTTTTTCCAATAAGAATCAACACAATCAGTAACTCTCCCTTGTCTTTCTTCCAGTTGGCTCCAAGCAATCTAAACTTCTGTGTTCTTTGTGTTTTTTTTTTGTTGGTTTTTTTTCTGTTTTTGTGTATGCTCTCTTCTCTGTGTTGCCCTGGGCTCTTGTCTTCCTTCAGGGATGGCCGCTCCCCATCTCACTGCAAGTGTGAGAAATGACAAGATGGGGGAGGCCTCTGTCCTCCAAAATCAGACCACGGTTTGTAGCTGTCCTCCTCCTCTTCCTCCTCCTCTGTCATCTGGGTTCTCCCCCGTCTCTCTTCATCCTGATGTGTGTGTGTGCGTGCTGTGGCCTCAGATCACCTCATGCCCGCGCTCTGCTCCATGCATATACCTAAAAGCTGCTGCACAGCTCTCGTCTAAAGTAGCCCATGCATACGTTTGTAAATTCTGGAAATCGAAGTGTAAAGAGTTTATCTTTTTTTTTTTCCATCCTAGAAAGGCTCTCGTGTGTGGACTACGGAAGACTCCAACTCCTTATGTTCAATTTTTGCTGCAGTTGGATTTATTTGTCTGATTTATGTTTTCGGGCACATTAGAGGTAGAAAAAAAATGCTGGTTGCTTTCTGGTCTGGACTCGATAGCAAAAAAAAAAAATTAAATAAATGCAGGAGAAAAGGTTCATGGATGTAGGGAAGAAGCATCTATGGAGGACGGAGGATGTGGTAATCTCTAATGGGAGAAACTAAAAGAAGGAAAATATAGATGTTCGCTTGCACAACTATAAAACAAAGATTTACTCTTAGGTCAGTAAATAACCACTGTGTTGGTTTTGTTCCAAAAATAACTAAAGTGTTAAATTGGTAAATGTTTTAAAACTCTAAATGTCTTGAATTAGAAAATAAAAAGGTTAAACGAAAATACAAAATTTGCTTCAAAGATCCATATTTAGCTTGGAACACTCCTGACCAAGTTAAACCACTTATGTTTCAAGTAGACGCTTCAATTAATGTTGGGTATTATTCCAACACGTACCAAAAAAACATTGAAATTCAACTTTTAGTGTTCAGCACGACATTACCGAGTTCAAATGTTTTAAAGATGAAAGATTTTAGAACGAAAAGTATTTAAGAACACATTGTAGCCTTTTCTTTTCTTTTTTGCTGATGGTGGGTATTCCTATAACATCATGTTACAGCAGTCAAAGCCTCACAAACATTAAAAAACAAACCTATTAATTTAACACCAAACAAAACTAATTTCATATGCATTTACCATTTTACCCTTTATATATATGCCTAAATATATTTCTTGCTGCTCTTATTAAACCAGTGGTGGGAACAATAGTGGAAGTCTTAGTCTCAATACTTTGTTTTCTGGACTTTGCAAATATTGTTCCGTAAAGTTTATGGTTGTCACCGTAACTCAAAATTTGCCCGTTCCTAGCTGAGACCTGAAAAAACCCCTGAAATGGCTCTTTAGCTTAATATCAACTCAAACATCCTCACAAACACTCGATCTCCACTTGTTGATAAACTGAACTCAATAATTAAACTATCGCTTCTCTCTCCTGATGTTAAACATTAAAATACATCTTGTGACAATGAGAATATTGTGAATTTTTGAAAATCCAAGCTCTTGAGCCTTTTCCTAGTTTATAGGTTTTAGATTAGCATTTATTGACTTTGAGGATACAAATTTCCTGGGAGCTGTTGCAGTTTATGAAACTGTATGAGTAACTGATACACCTGAGTAGGTCCAATAGCCAATAGGACGTGATGACCTGAAGAGCCAACACCATTTCCACTTCAGAGACGTGACCCTACGTAGACCAAGGAGCAGGTTTGTTGTTGGTAACAAATCTTTTGGATTCAATGGCTGCTTCTCCACAATGGCTTTTCTTTTATCTTACCACTGTCATTGGCTGCTGCTGTGCCATCTAACATTTGCTTAACATCAGATTGGCTTTCATTGGATTTGTTCTCAGCTTTACGTCTGAGTGAATCAGCATGATCAGTGTCAAAAGTCTGTAGAGTCGCTTGGTGTGTGGATCCATGTTTGTTCATTCTAGCCTCATCTGTGTGTCAAACTGTGTTGCAGACGGCAGCCCCAACGACATCAGCACCGTCGACGCAGTCACAGGGATACAAAACGCTCCGGAAGTGAGTTCCCTGCCCCTAAATAATGCACCATCAGAGTCCAGCTTACCACCAGAACCCCCACCACATTCCCGGAGCAAGACAGAGCCGAGCCGCCGCACCAATGGCACTGGCAACCATGGCACTGGCAGGCACCATCGTTCTCATCACCGTCACCACTCTCCCAGCAAATCCAAGGCAAAGAAGTCCACAGGGAGGAAAGGGCCTAAGCTGTTAAAGAAGGACAACAAGGAAAAAGATGGCCATCGGCACCGAAGCCGCCACCGCTCGCCTCATAAGGGGCACAGTCGCTCACGCAGTGCAGACAACACCCTGGAAAGCCGCGATAGAGGTCACCGCAGAGGCCGCTCTCCAGAACGCCGTCAAGGTCAACATTCTTCATCAAACCACCGCCACCACTCCCCACGACGCTCGCCGTACCGCTCTCAGCACCGCTCTTACCACCACTCTCCACGACGCTCACCTTACCGCCACAGATCCCCACCCAGGTACCACTCGCCAACCAGACATCGCCACCGCTCCTCAGACCCCTACCGTTACGACACCCCTGAGAGACACAACGAGAAGCCGATGGCAGACGAAGCCGCAATGTCCGATATTCCTCAACCAAGATTCCCTTTTGAAAACTCCATCCTGCGGGACTCGCCAGCTCTAGACCGCCTGAACAGAGATCCCACTCTTTCACTCCCACCACTTCGGAGAGAAGATCGTCTCTACAGGCAGGACAGCCCTCTGAGAACCTCCTCCATGGAGAGGGTCTACAGGGGAGACAGACTCCTGAAGGACTTTGCATCCCGTGACTACAGAGATGTCACCCTGCCCAGAGTCCGAACCCCCGACTTGGATTCATCCTACCAGAAGTACACTTCCCTGTTCAGAGGGCGTACACCTGAGATGCTGGAGAGGGATGGGCGCCTTGCCAGTAGAGGCGTCACCCCTGAACCGCGGTACAGAGCTCGTAGCCTGGAACGTGCCATCTCCCCGCCCAGAAGGGACGACTCTGAAGATGAAGAAGACGATGACATTTTTGTTGCCTCTAAGTTGAGAGAGTACTACAGCACGCTCAAGACCAAGAGCGATCCCCCACCCAAGCCCGTGATCCCTGAGCCTAAGAAGACCTACAAGGATAGTCCCAAAGACCTGAGCATCTGATTGGTCAGCTGTCAGCCAATCATAGATACCACCCACACAACACCTCAAGTACTCGCCTCCATTATCGGTTCTACAGGAATGCACCAACTTGTGTTCACGTGCTCACATATAAAAAACCTTCTCACACACACATTAACTACATATGCATTCACACACAAATTATGTAACGGTGTTGAGTTACTAACAAAAAGTGATTCCAAAATGACTTTTGAAAGCTGTTTTTTTTTCTTTCATTTTTTTAACTGTATGTTTTTCTTTCCCTTTTTTTTTGTTGAAGCATTCTACATTTACAAAACTTTTTCCAGAAAATATAAAATCTGAAAAAACAAAAACAAAACAATGATGTGCCTAAGAGTTCCATTAACAAGCAGCATTTTGTTTTTGATCCTATATGTGGCGGGCATTTTGCGGCCCGCTGTCAGACGATGAAATGTACGTACTTTTCCATGCGGATCCCATGGAAGTGCCGCGCGCCTGGATCACCGCTGCCGGTGCTCCTAACGATGCTGTGCATGTCTTTACCGGTTTCAGTGTCTCTTTTTTCTCTTTCTCTACGTCTCTCCTACCTTTGGTCTCTCTCTCTCTGTCTCTGTCTCTCCTTCCAGTGCCACTGTTTTTTAAAACATTTGACCAGACTATAGCACAAGCCTGCATTTGTTTGTATATTTTTGACAGTTTGCAGTATGTGTACATTCAGAGGTGATCATTTTAAATGAATGAAGGGAAAATTAAAAGTTAAACTATGATGACGATGATGTTGAAATAAAATAATATATTCAACGAATAAACTCGTGTCAGTGTTGCTCCTTTGTTTGCTGTTGTATATAAAACTAATATTACAGAACCTTTTCTTGCTGAAGGGCTCACTACGGGGGCTTTTCAAAAGCTGCTTGAAATGCGTGTGGGCGTTTATAATGCAGTCATGTAACTCTACATATTTTGCCAACGACTGGGCAGCTAGTGCAAGCAAATACAAGTGTATAGAACTCAGAATATACTTTTATAAACTTATCCCAAACAGTAATGACATTTGTATGCTTGCTGCCACAATGTTTCCTGGCAGTAAATGTCAAACCATTGGAAAGTCCGCTTATTTCTGCTTAAATGGTGCCACATTTGTAATAAAATGTTTCTGGGGGTTGAGTAACGGAGGAAAAACTTCCCAATTCCTTCTTTGCCAGTGCCAGCAGCTTTTAGTGGAGACATTGTGATTGGTGGCGTCTCCAATGCGCACCAGTTTCTTCTCTTAATGACCAAACAAAGTGGAGTTTACCTCTGGAATTTTGTCGGTGGTGAAGACGGAGCCGCCCAATGAGCTTTTGTGAAATTAGCATGGATGTGCTTTTGTGACAGACTAAACAGTGCGACCGCAATGACTGAATTGTTCCCAATGCTGGTTGAAAAATGGGATTCCACAGCAGTCCGTTACGAGCTTGTGACCAGAACAGAGGAAGATATACCCGGTGGTTGTGGTTGTGTACTTCAGGCCCCATTAATAAGTTGAATTACCAGAATTGCTTTTTTTTTTTTTTTTTTTTTAGATGTCAATAATAAAATCCAACAAGCGACAATGGAAAAAACAAATTTATGGGTATTGATGGATTGGCAATAACCACACGTTTTTTTGTCTTTGTAAATATTTGGCAGCATAAATGGGGAAAAGCGGGCTCTCCGACAGTTTGAGATTTATTGCCATTAGACATCGTTGCAAAAACTAAATAAGTTAATTTACATATTTTATTTGAATTTTAAATGTACAAACATTTTCACAATGCAAAATAAAATTTGCACATTTAGATTTTATGTTGGTATAAAACTGATTCATCAGTTGTCAAAGTGGGCAGCATGCATCAGTTGCTGTGTTTTACATGAGATTTTGAACATTACTGTGACTATCGCCGTGGTTTTGCGATCAAGTTTGATCGCTACAGTTGGTGTCCTTTTTATTTCAAAATTCAGAAGTGTGTTTTGTGATGGGACCGGCTGGCAGAATGATGAAGCGAATGCCTAAGTCAAAATCTTTTGACTGTGTCGAGAGAAAAAAAAAAGAAGTGATAACGCTAGATGATGTGATAACTCTAGCAAGACCAGGTTGCTAAGAAACCATGAGAGTTTGCACCCTGATGGAAGTCATGGAAAGCAAAAACACCTGATATGTGGAATCTCAGGAAGAAAAAGTTCCAGTTTGCAAGCCTTTCTTTGGTTTGTTAGTTGTGCTGATAAATTTTTGAACGTCGATGAAATTCACTAGCAACTCCTTTCTGAACTGTGGCTCTGCAAGCAGATTATGTTCTCAGTGAGATACGAAATATGGAAGAAAATGAGCTGGATGAGGGATCAATGAGACGGGAGTCAATGAGACACTTTATATCTTGTAGTTTTCTCTCAGTACATGTTTAGGAACTAAATAGATTTGGTTCAGCTGAGGGAACATGAAAGACTAGACCAGGGGTCACCAACTCCAGTCCTCGAGGGCTACCATCCTGCAACTTTTAGATTCACCTCTGCTCCAAAATGTCTGAATTCCCTCACCAGCATTCATTCCTCTCTGCAATAGGCTGGAAACGAGCAGTTTATTTGATCCAGGTGTGTTTGAGCATCTAAAAGTTACAGGATGGTAGCCCTTGAGGACTGGAGTTGGTGACCCCTGGACTAGACTGTTGAATAATTTGATTTAAACATTTTTAAGCTTAATAGAAAACACTTGATCCTGACTCACGAATGAAAGGATGGGGGGGGGGGGGTGGTCCTTTTTGGTTTAGAAATATTGGAGTAAACTGGTTAAATGTGTTGGGAGCTCATTACTTTTAGGACACTGAAAGAAAACGGTGGGAGTTTTTGGAAAAATTTAAAATCTTCCATCCTTTCACATCAAAGCCTGGACAGGCCAGCTTGTTCTGACTCGCTCTGCCTCACTTCTCACTTTCATACCAGCTTTTCCTCCTGACTTCATCTCATCCTGCTGCATCCACTCAGTTTGCTGAAAGATTTATCATTTCGAAGGAGGGGAAAAAAATAACGAGGGAAGCTGCATCCTCAGGACATGACACCAGCAGGTGAAAGAGGATTCAGGAGAAGACTGAGATTACATCCAGTCCAGCTAACTGACTGTGGAGAGACGATGAAAATGTCACGGTCCTTGCAGAAGCATCCCATGAGTTCTCATGCTGTAAAACTTAAGACATTTTTCCTACATGACTTTTTTTTTTTGCACGAGAGCTAAAATTTAATTCATCGCAGATCCTCAGTTTCAAATCTTTTGCAGCCTGTTAAGTTTTTCTCCTGAACTTTCCTCCAGGATTCATATCATCTCTTAAAAAGTTTCCCTTTTCCTACCGAAGAACCGAGGAAAAGTGTCTCTACAGGACGAGGCTGTTGCCCAAACGCGGCTTCTCCATAATGATCTCTAGTGTAGAGTTAGTTAGCCACTCATGGTGATTTTCATTTAATCCAAATAGTTCAGTCCTGCTCTCCTTTGACCGTTCGCCGAGTCTCCTGCACGACTCGAGACAAGTAGGACTTAAAATGTTTTCCTTCACCAAGCGCCGGGTTTGTTGAACACGCGATAAATCGTTACCCTGGTAACAAATTCTCCCACCTGAGCGCTAGATGTTTGCAGCTACCCCAGATTCACCGTGGATCCATTTGCTGCCATTTCAGGTTGACGCTCTCTTAGTTTAGTTCGTCAACCACGTCGCCTTTTTTTATTTTTTTTTTTTGTTGCTTCTTTTGGGATCTTGGATCTACTCTTTACCTTTCATTTCACAATTACTTCAACAAAGCACGTTGAAGATGTGCTGCATTCGTTTGCAAACAAAAGCAATGCGAGGAAAGTGTGGGAAAAAACTCACTTTGTTTTTCTCAATGTATGTGCGTAGAACAGCATGTGTGTGTGTGTAACGTGCATAATGCTCTCACTTTTCCTGAAATGTTTTTCCTTTTACTGACGCCATATGTTCAAAAAAGTCTGCATCCCAGATTACCCTGTGGACGCAATCTGTGCTGCTCATAAGAGGAAACTGAGATAAAGCGTCGTGATCATATCAGAGCGAGTATTTTTTTTTTTTTTTTGGCCTAGTTTCGTTGCAGTTCAATCAGGCTTTAAACACATTCTGCTCCTTTTAAATCAAACCTCTGAAATGCTGTTTCCTAACTCCACGTTTTTAAAGATAACCATATGATTTACGCTAATGTCCAATAATCACAAGTAGTTCGTACAGGAGAATAATGTCTGAGATAAAAATAAAAAATAAAAACACACACACACACACACACACACATCTTAGTGGTGTGTTCAGATTTTACCCAAATTCCGAGGACACAGATGTTTGCATCCCGCTCCCTTCCTCTCTCCACGCTGTCGTTGAACGGTAACCACAGCAGCCCCTAAATAATGGATGTAATCCACATCGGAGCACTAAAACACTCTCCTCTCCCTTTAAATATCACTCTCCCTCTCTTTATCAGGACGCGCTCCACCTTCCATCACCAAATGCAAAAACACAGCCCTGTGTTTTACAGCTCGCGCCACCTAAGAAATGATAAACAGCCCGGGGCCCGGAGACGATTCATCACGTCAGCGGCAGGCAGGAGGATGAGACGGTAATGAAATATCCAATAAGAACATGACGGCAGCCCGGCAGGCTGTCAGCAACCCGGGTCAAGCACCTTTATCTTTTTTGTTTGTTTGTTTATTTTGGTTTTGTTTTTGTGTTTTTGTTTTTTGTTTCCTCCTCCTCCCTTCAGCCAAGCTCCAGCTGCTCTCTTTTCTGACCCTACAAGATCCTCTGCGCCATTACCATGGAAACGCAGAAGCGACAGGCTCCATACTCATGCTGACCGGAGCGCAACGGGAGAGAGCATCCATAAATATGAACACTAACAAGAGTGCGGGGGTTTATTTTCGGTGGTGTGAAAAGAAAAGGAAAAAAAAAAGAAAAAGTCGATATGACTTTTCAGTAAGATTCTCCGCCTGGTTCTCCATAGCCGTCATTCAGCGACTATTATTTGTCATGATATGGCTTCTGTCTCATACTCCACAGTGCATGGCCGTCTTTGAGAAGTGAAGTGGAGGAATGCATTGTGGACGTTCAAATGGGATTTTGTAAAGTGTATTTTTTTTTTCTCATCAATGCTACTACAATACTGTCAGACTTAGAAAAGCTTTAGGTTTCCTGTGTGGCTGATCTAATCAAGTGCAAGATGCCTTATTTGAAATTTAGGCTGATGATTTTCCTTTTGGATAAATTTGTTCTATTTGGATCTAAGACATGCAGGAGAGAACGGTGTTAGGAGCAGGGTGACCCTCTCTCATTTTTTTTTTCCAGATTAAACTTTGCCTTCTTGCTTTTCTTTTTATTTTCTCTGAAGCCTCCAGATCCGTAATACCCTTTTAAAAAATCTGAGAAATTCAGAAAAGCTTGATTGTTTGAGAAATAGCTTTAAATGGTAACACACAGTGGAAGATGTCAGATGTTAGCCTAATGCCAGAATGATGATAATGAATTACTTGTTCAATGTCAGCAGTGTTTATATGCTAACATTACTTTACCTTCAAAAAAAACTGAATGTGCAGATGATGATGTCATGCTGTAAATAAAGTCTGTCGACTCTTTATAAATTTCTACATACCGTTGATGCATGACTGCATCAATATGTTACGGAATGACAAAGAGAAAATAAATATTTCTCAGTGACTCATCTGTCTTTGAAAAAAAAATGACCCTCTGAAAGCTCTTCTACACTAAAATAATT